CCATGCTGCTGCAGTGCACCCATGCCAGCTGCCCTTGGATCTCTGCTCGGAGCTCCCAGATGGGGAGGAACGTGATGAATGAGAGGAGCTCCTCCAGACCCAGGACCTGTCCTGAAATCCCCTCTCATCCCACAAACGCCCACAAACAGCACACTCACCTCCAGGGAAGGGACGAGACGATGCTGGGTCACTCTGCTGGGTCACTCTGCTGGCTCTGGGTGTGGCTGTCCGTGCCTGGAGGTGACCTTGCTGCAGTCACAGGGGATGTGGAGGCAGTGGCCAGGCTGTGGCCATCCCCCCTGAGCAGGGTGTGTGCTGCCCTGGCCACAGCAGTTCCATCTGTGCACAGCTTCCCAGAGCCCTGGGATAGCAGGGAGCCAGGGAACTTGCTCTTTGCTGTTAAACTTGGTTATAGATCACTGAATACTGATACTAAAGTACAAGGAAAACCCCCACCAACTCTTGCAAAGTGCTTTGAAATCTTTTTTCTGCTCAAGGGCAGAGAGATTTTTAAGGGCACAGAAATCAGCTCGTTTGCCAGCCATGCCAAATGTTTTCAGCAAYCTCCAGTAGAAAAGGAAATGCAGTGAGCTCTGCTTATGGATCATTCCCATCCAGCACCATGGTTAAACTTATTTTTATGTGAAAAGTAAGAGGTAGACAGACACAAACACACACACATAAATATATAGAGCACACATACACATACACACACATAATCTAGGAGGCAAAGAGACAATCTGTACCTGCATTTGCGATATCTTTCTACACCAGGTAAGGAAAGCGGCTTTTTCCTTTTAACTGGGTGCTGTACCTACATTGTTTCCTCGCAGTCTATCTTTAGGTTATAGCAGTTCACAAGGTTTTTTTTTTCAGCAGATGTGTTATTCAATTACTTCAGGGCTTTTCCATTTGTAATATTGCAAAGCAATGATAGCCAGCAGACTTCACCTGTCTTTTAGAGATAGCCAGCCTGGTAATTTTAACTCTGCCCATTTTATCCACACCAGTAAATCTCATAACGTGGTTATAGAGAGATTCCAATTTTTGTAGAACCTTCTCCTGGGAATTCCTGTATACAATATTGCCATAGACTGTAATGGACATAACCTGTGATTGGATTAATGTTTCCCTAGTGAAGAAGTCAAAGCATTTCATGTTCCTATAACTGGTTTGCAGCTCTGCAGCAAAGGTCTTTGGTGTGGCAGAGAAAATAATTGCAAACTCAGCCCCAATCAGAATGTATAATCCCCTCACAGCGAGGGTYTAATTCCGTGCAGTTAGACTGCCCGTGCAGGGGTTTGTAGTGGGATTTTCTTGTCAGGAGAGCAGAATACATAGAAAACAACTTAACTTCAGCATTGTAATATTCATCACCCAGTCCTGTACAAAGGGAGGCGAATACATTGCAGCTGCTCTGAGGGAGAGCCCTGCAGCTCCCCAAGCAGAGGATGGGAAGAAGCAGAGTGGGCATCATAATGGAGCACTGATCTCCTCACAAAAAAAAACCCTCCACTTGTGTTCAGACAAACACATGACTTCGTTCTTAAGAATAAATACCATTCTGTCCAATTAAATGCCTGATTTGGGGCCCATATTGACTCCTGAACCTGTCAGAATCCCTGATTCCTTCTTTGGACCTGACACAAGTGATTGGTGAAGAGTTACTGTTGGGACTACATGCATTACTCACCTCTGAGACACCGATTATCTGCAGGAAGAAGAGGCTCATGGCAGGCCAGGGGTAGGCTCTGAGGCAGGATCTGTCTGCTCAGATGGAGGAGGAGAACTTCAGCACTTTTGTGGGAGGAAAGGGAACTAGAAGCTGGAAACAAAAAGTTTCTATATTCCAGCTCCCATGCTAGTCTTCCCAAAAAAATGGGATGTGTAAACCCTTAGGCAAGCTAGCAGAGACCCTCCAGTGAAAGGCTCAGGCTCCCATCCCCAGCTGGTCAAGGAGAGCTTTCAAGAAATCGAGTTTATTGAGAACCCTGAAAGCAGTTATGGGTCTCTGAAAAAAAAGCACTTTAGAGTCAGCTCTGTCTATGGGGTTCAGGGGAGATGTGACTGGGATCTCAGCATGGAAAAATTGGGTAGTGGCAACTGTGGCTTGGCCAGAAGGTGCCAGACACAAACTGAAAGAGGAATGAAATGAGAGGCAAGGGCAAAGGGTTTGAACAAGACATTCTGGAGAGGATGGGTTCGAGGACGGGCRTGCTGCCCGGCTGAAGAGCAAGGCAGATGCTCTTGGCAGATAACCTTCTGTTTGGATGTTACGGTGTTGCTGGGCAGGTGGAGAGGATGGGAGGAAGGTTAGCACCATGGGAGTTGACAAATGGGATGTCATCATTTCCCATATGGGTAACTGTCTCCAATCTGTGCTTTCCGTGCAACTGAAAGGTTGGGACTGAAAGGAAGCATCTCTGGCAGGGCTGAGCACTGCATTAGGTCTGCAGTAAGACCTGTAAATTCCAGCCTGGGGGGCAGATACCTGTGCACAAGACAAGTGATTTCAAGGAAAATCCAGTTATTAAACCTAAATTTTAAGGACTGAATTTTACAAGTCTGACACAGGGAGCCTCTGACAGCCAATAGAAGGGCAGCACCAAAGCCTCACAGAATCCACCCATCCTGGTTTTGAAGTGAGCTGGGAGCCTGTGAGGAGGAAGGAATGAAAATGCAACACCACATTCCACAGCTGCTTTTATCACTTTATTTATATTTCTAGAGTAGGCTTTTTAGCAGCTAAGCAAATATCAAAACTCTCTCATTACATATATGTATGTATATATATAGAAACATTCAAAAATAAATAACAAGGAATTCTGCAAGTGCAATGAATACATGAAAGAACATTTAAACTTCAGTTAACCAACTTMGAAAGTCTTCCTCCAAACCCAGTAAAACCCAATGATAGTTATAAATTAGCACTGGATTAATTCAAAGGAGAACTTATCCCTCCTCTGCGTACCTTCTAATCCATATCTCCAAGAGGTCATTTTAATTATCACACTGTCACTGCTATTCATTACTCTGCTTTTGGAGACACAGAGCCAGCACTGTGCCTTTCGGATGCCTTGGAATTCATCATATGAAGGCGTTTTATTCTCCCTAAAAATGTACACARTTTAACCCTCTCACCTTGAAATACTGACTGTAACAGGTGTGCTTGGTGTTTKAAATCATTTTCCTGCCAGTGAGTARCTCCTTCTTGCTTTCAAGCAAGTTCTCCTTGTCAGAGAGCAGCTAACTAGGGAAAACCCAGCTAATGGGTGGTTAATGCACAGATACATTCAGCTCAAGTTTTGGCAGATCCTGAGTAGCTTGTCCTTCTTCAGAGGCATGCAAACCCAAGCTTTTTTCCTTACTCATACCTGTTCACTCCTTCTGGCTGCAGTAACACAAACTGGATGGAAATAAATGCTCCCAGGAGATCCATTGGGATGTGGCTCCAGAAGTGTGGGGGAAGTCTGAGACACAGAATGCAGAGCTCAGCCCTGATCCTGCTTGCTCTGTGTTTGTATGGAAAGGAGCTCAAGGACCTCACAGAGAACTCCCCTGTATCCACAGAGAATGTTGAAGGAGAAGGAAGTATCAATACAAGCCAATCTRCTTTCAGTTGCTGCTAGAACCACACCTTGGTTCAGGCCTTGCAGTCAGGTCTTTACTACTGAACAATCAGGAATTGCTTTCACCAGGGACAGTCAATTTAAGTCACCCCAAAGGTGAATTATTTTAACCTGTAGTTATCAGCATTTAATTATTTTAACCTGTAGTTATCAGCATTTAATTATTTTAACCTGTAGTCAACAGCATTTCTCATACCTTTTCATTCACCCCCAGCATGCATCCTCTTCACACAGAGGCCCGTGCAAGGACCCAGCTGAGCCTGACTGTTCCTAGATCATGGAATTCCTGTCCTGGGAAAGAGGAGARGAACAACCAACCCAGCTCTTTCACTAGAGAACGGTGTCTAGGACTGACACTTCTTCAGGGCCACCCCAGGCCAAGAGGAGCTCATTCAGTTACGCTTTCACCCTCAGTTTGGCTCATCCTTTCCCTCTCTTATCTACTGGGTCTTGATACTTTCTCTCCCTCAAGCCACCATTCCAGCTCACACCTGGCAGAAGACAGTGAAGAGAAGCTGCTTCCCAAGGCTTCAGATGGGTTGAAAAGAGGCAATTCTAAGTGTACTCTCCTTTCTTACCCCCAGGAAACATTCAGGACTCCACTGAGGGTCACCCTCTTTTTGTCTCCAGTTTGAGAACCAAGGTCAGATGTGTCAGAGAGTCACACATTGCAGGAGACAAGCCTGCCTAGTGACAGTGGCTTTGAGCAGAGATTTCACATGCTGTGCATGCAATGGGGATGTGGTGAGTTTTACTTAGGGTTTCTTACAGTGGTGTCACCACACTGTTTGTTCACCTCTTTCAGCACTACTCCTCGCTCATGCTGCCTCAGTCATACATCTGTTGGGAAGTCTGGTCTTTCTAGACCCCAGAGTTTTTGATGGAGGACCACTCTCTCTGCCTGTTGGACAGGTTTTGCAGCAAGTTCCATGCCAGCAGCCTGACAGTCACATTTCTCACATGACCCCTCTCCTCGAATGATCTGATAGAAGAGCAAAGAACCCAGCCATGCAGCGGATGATAAACTGCACATGAGGAGGAGCACCTGCCTGGCTCCCAGAAGCCATTTATCCGGCTCTCTTCATGCAAGCTAACAGGACTAGCACATGCAGCAGGCATAAGGGCTTCTGAGCCTGACACTAAAAGGGGAGACATCACTTGGTGCAGCAGAGGAACCAGGACTCCCTTGTTAGCTCATTGTATGGATTACCCCTTTAAAGAGAGAGAAGGGRACTGGTGGAGGAAAGAGAAGCTTTCTCATTTTAACAAATAGCTTTTCAGCCACCGCAAATGATTTCTGCAAATCTATTAGTTCACTCTTTTTTTTCCCCACAGATAGGAAAAAGAAAAAAAAAAAAAAAAGCCCTGAAATTGATTCACCATCTATAAATAAAAAAGAATCAATAGTAAAATTTCTAGCTAATTTCCCTCTCCCTCCTTGCTCCTTGGACTATTTGTTATCTTAGAAATACTTGTCTGGGAAAAAAAAAGAGAAACATCATCGATTGCTGACTGCGACGTGCTCCTCCGCCTTGCCCTACAGCTCTCCTCTCGTCTCCTCTCATCGCAGGGACAGAGGCGGCTCCTTCAGGTGCTCCTGGCTCCTCTTCTCGGGTTTTCCACCAGCCTGGCTGTTCCCTGGGCCCCGCTGGGCAGTGCTTTTATAGTGTGRAATTTTGTCCTTCCTGCCAAGGGAAGAGAGAGAGGACAGGTGCAGTCAGACCTGGGGGTTCCAGCAGCAGTGAAATAAAGCGTGTGTGGGGCTCGCTCCGAGGAGAAGCCGCGTGTGAAGCTCGCAATGAAGCGCATCTGTAAGGAAAGCTTTGGCAGCTCGAGACAAATTAGAGGTGGTTAAAGACCAGCTGGTCCCRTCCTTCTCTGGCCAGAGCAGGGTTAGTCCTTCCAGGAGGCTTCAAGAGCTTTGTGGTAGCTCTGAGCTCTCCAAGAGAAGGGTCCTGTACTTCTCTTGGGTGAGGCACTTCCCACTGTGTTCTCCTGCGCACCCAAAATGTTTCCCTTCATTTCTGCTCATGCATAGCCCTCCTTTCCCTGTGAATATTTCCTTTCCCTGTGAATATTTCCTTCTGGGGCACGTACCATTCACAGCACAGCTGGGTTCACACATCTGCTCACAGCTGGATTGCCCCCACTGCCAGGGGTGCTCACAGCAGGGTCACAGTCTTTGGGACAGACTCTGCAGAGWGCACCCAGCACCTGACACACGATACCAGTGCTTCCAGCATCCAGACCAGTGCCCTCAAAGAGCCCTCAAACTGATACTGCTGTTTCCCCATGCCCAGAACTCCAGTTATCTAACTCAATYACCTAGCAGTCATGCCAGACCTCAGCTGTCACTGTRGTTTGGAGYGTGGCATTTCCAGGGYCCTTTCASGCTGCAGYCCCAGCAGAGCTGTGAGGGTTTTATAACTGGCCTCCAAAGGAGCAGGKTTATGTTAAATACAAAGTATTTTTTGCAGTGATGCCCCAGCAMTTCCCAGGGTAAGAAGGAAGCCATGCAGCAGACCTGGGGAGAACTGACAATAACAGATAAAATCCCATTTTTCTTGATCCCTGCACCCTGTTTCACCCCAAGGAACTGGGCCCCTCTGCTGCCTGCTGTAGTGACACAGACAAACCTGCCTTCCTCACCACACACGTGTCTTTCAGTGCTTTTGCTTTTACTTGCAGAAGGATGTTTTAATACACATTTTWAAATAATTGTAATGATGTAGCTGCCAATGGGGCCCAGGGCTGAGAGGGCTTTATTTCCACCAGCCCTCCCCTCCTCCCTGCTGTCASAGCTGCCACCAGTGCAGCCTCTACTGCATCTCCACAGTTCAATCATCAACCTAGGGCATAGTGGTATTTTGAAGAGATGAACACTGAGACAAAAACAAATAAATGAGGACCCTGGGAGGGATACCTGAAAGGCACAGTGAAGTGAGAACAAGCAGTTTCACTGGTTCTGTGTGTAATTACATTGACATGTTCCTAGACAGCACTGCAGACCTAAACACAGCAGCAGCTCTCAACCAAATGGAGACTCACAAAAAACACAGAAAAACAAGCCCAGCCCTTGCCCTGGGGATGCATCAGCACTGCCCATGTCACTGCTGACAGCCTTCCTGCTCCTCCCAGGGCACAGCCAGCAMTGGATGGGTGGGCAGGGCTCAGCTCCTGGTGCTTCCATGCAGATCCCCATTTCTCTGCATCCACYCRTCCAGTCACTGGAGCAGCACTGYTGAGTSTCATTGCTCCTCTGGGCAAGTGAARSGAACAMTRTAATGCAAAATGAAGTCTTAAACTTTCTTTTTCCTGATTTGGATAACACAGAAAAAGGATATCCTGTTGTGCCAACAATCTCACAGGTGAGATTTTTTGACACTGGCCTTTTTAGCCATCCACTGAGCTGAAGCATCATGAGTGTCAACCACTCAGTTCACATCAGGCACTCGTGGCAAAGTAGTTTTTGGGACATACAGCCCATTGACACGGTCACAATCCTGTGTGACAATCGACAAAGCACAGCTCTGCTACATGTTCATCGCACAGACAACAGTTAATCTTGCAGCCATGCAAACTGTTTTGCAAATTGAAATCTCAGAGGCATAGCAATTACAATACCAAATTTATACCACATCTCTCACTCAACTAATTGTACATCCAAAAAATCACCACTTGAATAATCTGAATACATTCACCTTTGCAGCTAAAAAAGCCTCCTCTACATGCTTGATCTCAACACAATTTTGAGTTACAGAACCCCATGGGAAAGAAATGCCAACCTCTGATTTCAACAGGAAAATTGCTTCTATCTAAATACAGCAGATGCATAATTCACACTGAGGTCTAACAGCTTGGTGTTCCCAGCAAAGCTTGTTTTTACTCTGCAAAATGGGGACATTTCTGCCTGCAGCTCTCCCAGCCCATCTACAGGAGGACAAGCCCTATATAAAACTACTCTGAATGCAATGCACATGTTCACATCCAAAATAACTCTAAATGGATTTCTAATTGTTAGCACATCTTAAAGRCCTTACAATTAATTAGCAGACCTAAAGACTGGGCTGATGTTTGGGATGAGGTTTACAGAGCTGCCAGTGTAGGCACATTTGTGCCACTGTGGCATTTTGAGCTCTTTCACCCRCACAGTTCTTGACTTTTGTTTCCATCTCATGAAGCAAAGTGAGGTGGGGAGATTTGAACTACTGACTTTGCAGCTGGTTATTAAAGAAAGTCAAAATAGAAGAGAATTGGTGTTTAAATTGCAAAGGGAGGTAAAAATGAAGTTATCCAAGCCATGTGAGTGGGATCAAAAATGAGTCATCAAGGCTGGAAAATGGGTGACCCCTGATCCCAGAAACTAAGAAATCTGGCTGCTGTCCTGTTGCTGCTGATCTAATTTTTACACTTTCCTCTCCATACAGAGGAGACAACATTTCCATTGCGTCCATCACAGCTCAACAATCAATGCCTGATCACTTCCAATGCTTCACTCTCAGGGATGCACAATTAACCAGCACCATGTTTGACATTGCAAGGGGAGCGCAGCGCTTTCTGGGAATACCTGACAAGTTTCAATCCTAAACAACACAAACCAAATGACCTGGCAGATAATGACTGCCAGCGCCCTGACAGTTRGATAATGTGCATGCTCCAAAGCAAGGCCAATTAGAAGCAATAAAAACAAATTTGAAATGTTAGAGCAAAGGTCAGAAATCCTCAGCCATTACCACAAACTTGTTTTTTCTTTTTTTCAAGCGGTCACTAGCACCTATTTCCAGTGAGCATCCATTCATGCTACCCATGTCGACCCACCCTACTCACAGGACCCTGTCTCTGCTTCCAGAGCAGGAAAATCCCAGACCAGGGTGATGCATGAAGTAACACRGATGCTGTAAATCTGCTAATTGGGCCCTGGCTTCCTCAGAGCAACAAGACCAGGGAAGGAAATGGAAAGCAGGTGGGTATCTGCAGGCGTACCTATGTGAGGATGCCTGTGAGAGCTAATCTAAACACATTTAGGGTTTAAATGCAAAGCTGATTAGTGAAACCACAGCAAGCTCTTATGTGATATGCTCCTTCAGAGTTAAAGTAGCCATAATTCAATTTATTCATTTAGCTCATTTCCAAAAAGCAAATTAAGGTGGAGTAAATTAAATTAAAACAGCTGACAGCACCTTCATTTTKAAAGGGATTGTTAACATGGACACAAGCTACTCCATACAGTAATGCAGATTATTTTGTCCTGCTAGGCCCCCTGTCAGGCACACCAGCTCCTCATCCTGAAGCATTTTTACAYTCCCTCTGCTCAGGGAATCTCTCAGAGCAGGACCAAGTGGACATGTATTTGGGTGTTTGCATGTGCTTTAGTGTACACGTGCTTAAATCCAGGGTAAAACCCCTGCAGCTGGCATCCTGCTTCCCAAGTGTTTGAGAAGCTAATTGTTCTAATGAGGAATTTGGTGAAGCCTATGCTGGGAGCTGGCCAAGCCTGCACATCTCCCTAAACTCCATAAATAAATCCTTTTCACTGAACCCATGCAAATGTGTCACTGTTCAAAATCTGGAAGGTGATCTTTAACAACAGCTACAAGTATCAAGAGTTGCATAAAACATGCAGACAGGTGTGAGAGCAAGCTCACCGATTATAATTACCAATAGAAAATGGGGGACAACCCCAAAAGCCTAATTTTTTTAGGCAAAACATAAAATTTACCTTTAAACCTTAGTCGTGCTCCCATTACTAATACAACTTACAGCACTTGAAATCAGATTGAAGTTGTTTGACTCTTTTCTATTTTCCTGTCCTCACTCCATTTCCTCCCTCCTCTACAAATTGTAAGAGGTTTTGCTGACCTTTCACGTTTGGTCTGGAAGATTTTTTTTGGTTTATTACACTCTGCTCTCCTCTTAGTCACTGAAAATGGTGAGGGGAAAAGACAACAAGACAATAATTTAAGTTTGGGAGAAGTGAGCTGGGGATGGCAACAAAGAGCCCCTCAGGAATAARGCAGGGAGATGGCTTCACTCACAGCTCTCAAATCAGTCATGRCCAGGTCAAAAAAAGCACAACCAGATGTAGATAAAACCTCAAAAATCCTGAGCTCAAAAGTGTAGAGAGGARTTTTTGTGAAAAACAGGAAGAAGTGAATTGGTGAGAACAGTCCAGACCCAATGGGGCAGAAGAGCCCATGCACAACAGGGAGCAGCACAGCCCTGGGATGGCATCAGTTTGAGCTCATAATCCCAAAAAAACCTCTGGGCACAGCTGTTTAGTGCCGAGATGGAGCTCCAACTGAGTTGTCCAGGCAGAAGGTCCTGCCCAAAAACGAAGAGTTTCCCCATCCCCAACCAGCGTGGTGCTGGAGACAATGCCCGTGGTGTCCAAGGCTGGCAGGACGGTCCCGTGGCACATCCAGCCTGTTGGACACACAGCTGTGCTCTCATACATCATCGTTAAGGCTGCAAAGTCAAGCAGCAAAAGGAGGAATTGCCAGAATAAAGGCTGTCAGAGCAATTTGAATTCAAGCTCCTGGCAGATATGCCTTCTGATGGGGTCTTTAATTACCTCATCACAGCCTACTTTTTCTTCAACAAGGCTGCTGCTTTATTCAGGGCACGATGGACAGACTGCAATTAATGAAGGGCCGGTCAATATTTTGTTCTGTCCTTTTTTCATTCAGTGTGTGGCCTCAGGCGTTATTTGCCACATGCCATCAAATCCCTGCTCTTGGAATTAATCATCTTCTCCTGGGCTTTTCTCTTAATGTGCATCAGTGCAGCAGCTGTGAGATTCCCACACAGGAAGGAATTTCTCATCCAACACTCCTGTGAGCAGAGCACCTGGGTTTTACCTACAGGAAAATATGGGCAGACATAGGGCAGAGCTGCAGAATGCTCCACCAGCAAGGCCCAGGTAGATTTTTCAGGATACCCACACTGTCTCTGTTCAAAACCCATCTTTCCTAACCTCAGCCAGAGCTGTTTACACACTTCGAATTTAAACTTTAGTGTGTCCAGAATATGAGTAAGATGTAACTGGTGGCTCTCAGAGAAAAAATGTCAGTGGTTGAAAGAGGCAAAAGCTCCTCTGCTGATGCTGTGCTAGAGCAGGGCTCTGTTGAAGACAGAGAACCAGAGTGGAAGAAAGAACAGAGAAACAGTGATATGGGCAAAGGGATGAGCTTCAGGCAGTGCAAGCTGACAGGCATTTGTGAATTTTTCCGTAAAAGTTCTGTTTTCCTACTTTAGCCATCACCTGTAACAGCTGTACTCTGCTGTCTCTTCATCTCTTACAAATTTCTCACCTTTTACCAGCCTCCTTTCAGAGGAGCACATTTTGCACTTTCAACCCAAGAAATCTTCACCTTTCCCCTGGCACAAGTAGAAAGAGGTGAGAGCAGGACAGAGGAGGAGCTCCCTGTGCCACTGACAGCATCAAAGGGAGCCCCACTCCAGTGGTTCCCAGTGAGGGCAGARGAGAGGAGCTCTGCTCAGTGAACAGCTCAGAAAAGGAGCAGGAGGAGAGGAAGGGCATGAACCTTCAYTGCTGTCCAACAGCCCCTTTCTGCACTGCTCTCTCCTGCTCTGTGCCCACTTAACCCACCCTTGGAGAGCTGTCTTTGTGTCCAGGATGGGCTCTCTGAGCCTCTCTCAAGCACGGCTAAGTGCCAGCGCTCTCTTCTCCGGCAGCTTCTGCAGGCTGCACAGACCTCTCTCACCCTGCTAGAAATTCAGGGGCCTGCTGGCTTGGCATTCCAGAGAGCATCCAGCATTTTCAGCAAGGCTTTTAATTCATTAGCTCACCTAGGAAAATATTCTAACCTTCCTGCCCTCCCCAGCTGAGTCACTGAYGCTTTCCTACCTTGCTGCAGATGCGTCACCTTCAGGAAAATAATTACTTACTATGTGGATAACAGCATGCTTTAGACATTATCTTTGTGAGCTGGGTGTTTGTTTGGGATCACAGCGTCTCCCTGCCATGAGGACTGCAGGACACTACTGTGTGAAACAAGTCCTGACTTTCCTTGCAGGCTGTAGGAAACCCTTTGTGGTCACTGGGTTCACTCCCAGAGGAGCTGGGGGAGGCTGGAGGAGGCTCAGTCAGARGGAAGGGGCTGRAGGGYTCTGTGAGAGGCTGGGTGAGGTGTGGTGAGCTCCATCACTGGCACAGGTTTCCCAGAAAAGCTGTGGATTCCCCATCCCTGGAAGTGTTCAGAGCCAAGTTGGATGGGGCTTGAGCAAGCAGAAGGTCCACCATCTAGGGGATGGAATGGGGTGATATTTACGGTCCTTTCCAGCCCAAACCAGTCTGTGATTCTGGGTCAATCTACATGTGTAACTTGGGCTCCTCCAGGCAGGGGCAGGTGCAGTTTAACCACAGGTCCAGCTGTATTCACTTCCAGGCACATAAGCACATTACACACGGAATACAGATACAGTTATTTCTCTTCACCTCCTGAAATGAGCAGCACAAGCATTTGTGGCAGCAGAGGGTGCCCCACCTCCAGCCTCAGCCTTGGTTCTGTAACCAGAGCTGTTCCATCAGTTGTTGCCTCTTACTCCAGAGGATCCTGATTCCYCCCAAACTGCCTGCATTGCCTGTGCTGTAGGATGGCTGCTCTCTGACACCCTGACTGCCTGGACAAAGCTCCTTAAAGGTGCCTCAGTTTGGCTACCAGCCCTACTTCTGACCTTCAGGTCCATCTCTCCCTTTTTGTGCCTCAATTTCCTTCTCCAGAACACGGTGATTCCAACACAAACATTTCCTTCCTTGCGGTCAGATGTGCCCTGGAAGAGTTGCAGGTTGTTGCTATTTCCAGGCCTGTCATTCTAACACATTTTGGCTGCACTAATTCCCTCAAACAGAAATTGTTCTGCCTGTCCTAGTCTGGGACAAAGCAGGCAATTAGTTGTCCCTTACACGTTTATTAACTCTGCGGCTTCCTTTCAATGACTGCGTGGAATCCAGTAATGTTTTAATATATTTTCATAAACTGTGGGCACAACATGTCCTGTTTCCACTAATAACCRTGCCATATAATTAGTCCTGATTACACAGATATTTAGTATCATTTTACATATTCCAGTCCTTTCCACTGCCTAGCCAAGGCATATTTAAAGCTACAGCCATCTCCTTTCTGTTTCCTGGCAGTTTGCAAGAATTCCTTTTGGAGAGGGTTGCGGTTAACACGGCAGCTTCAAAGAACAATTTCATTTCGCTGGTGTACATTTTAGATATATACAGGCTCTGATCAAATGTCAGGTGGCAAAGCCCAGGATACAAATAGAAGGYATTTATCTACTTACAGGGAAAAGCCGGTATTTGAAATCCATCAGGAAATTAACAACATGAATCTTTAAAAATCTATTCCTTAAACATCTGTTGGCTTAGGGCTGAACATTGACCGTATTTAGGATTTCACTGGGAGGCAGCTCTCCCCAAACAAAAGATCCCTCACCCCATTAGRCTCTGGTGGGGGAATGAGAAAAATTTGCTCTGTGCAACCCGATTATAGATGTGTATCTTTCCCTGCTGGCGTGGCTGTCTCTATAGAGATGGACATGGATATTTGATGAGATTAAAATGCTTCAGTTACCACTGTCAGTGGTTCTTTAATTTAAAATGAAGAAAGCAAACAAACATTCCTTCTGATGAGGTAACTGAATGATGCCAGGGAAAAGCACTTTGCTGTCAGGTGGTAATTAGGTTCAGTAATAGTTGTGGGTTTTTAGCCTTGGAGGCTGTGGCCCCTGGGAGTCTGAGAGAAATGATACATTCAATTTCCGGAGGAGAGGAAGATGCTGGATGCTTTTCTCCGCTAACCCTGCAGGTCTCTGCAGATAAGAGCATTCAGAACTGCAGTGCTGACAATMCTCCTTGAGCCAGCCTAAACTGTGGTGTCAAGATCACAAAACAGAAAAGGGAGATGGGCTCAGAGCAGGCCTAACACAGGCAGCCTGGCTCTGGCCATATATATAAGGAACTGCCTGTATGGCTGCAATGAGGGGATTTTTAAAAGCTGCAGAAAGGACTCCAGCAATTGCTCTCTGCTCTGGGCTGATATTTGTAACATCCATCTTACACATCACCAGAAAATCTTCAGTAGGAAAGTGTTCCTTTGCAAACAAGGAGCCATTCCCACAGCTACTCTTTCAAGGGAGGAAAAAAGCAGGTMGAAGKAGGRAGTGAATCTCAATGCTCAGCTGCCYCTCTTGCCAATTTRAAATTGCCTTTTCCACCACAAAATATCAATTCTATTCAKTTGTGCTGTTAGGAGTTGAAATCCAAATGAACCATTCTGATTGGTCTAAATGCATTTAATTGAAATTTTTTCAGTTTGGAGGAATTATTGCAGTTTTCTCAGAACAGAGGCAAATTCTGAATATGATGTTTTCCATGAAACAGGTGCTCTGGTTCCTGCTCTGCTTCCCTCTTCTTGTGTTGCTACACAGMTTTTCCAGTCCAAGGAATGTGGTTCTCCATAAACAGTTCCATGGAATCTCCCCTGCTCCTGCCACAGCCTAAGGGACACTGAGAGGACACGGCTGGCCAACTCCAGAGAAGGGCCAGCAGCGTTGCAGGGTGTCAAGCTTGGGCATTTCAGGCCTTTGTGCATTSCTCACCAGTGCCTGGCTTCATGTGGTGCTTCCTTTTGTGCCAACACCCACTGAGCTGGCTGTCACACTGCACCAGGGACCGAGAGGGGATCCCCAGGGACAGTGTCCATCTGGGATGGCAGAAGGAATCTGCCCCTGGCTGCCAGCACTGCAGCAGCTCTGAGGGGAGGCAGACAGCTCTGCCTTTAACGCAGTCATTTCCTGAATGCCTGAAAAAGTTTCCACTTCCAGAATTAAAACTTTGCGAAATAAAGTGGCTCTGATTCACTCTCAGGAGATAAATGAAGGGTAAGTCCATTAAAGATACTGGTGTGAGATTGGTGTACAGCAGACAGAATTCAGGAAAGATATCGATATCTCCAAAATCCTCTGAATATTTTTTCAGACATAAACCAGGTATCTTTCCTGATCATAAATGCTTTATTTCCAAATGCAATTTCAATAAAATAAGCCCAGTTAGACTAGCACGCTTATTTTAAAGCCGTAATGCAGTAGCACTGAAGTTTAGTCATGAAAGGTATTAAAAAAGCAGCCCTGCTAAAGCAAGAGAAATTGCTTTCTGACCTACCGAGTTTTAGGAGTAGGTGCCAGTGGTCCCTCCACCAAGGAGTTCAGCCTGTAGTAATCCAAGAATGTCCTGGCCACGTTTCTTCCAAGCTTCATATCTGTGAGATTTTAATTAAGGAGCATTTTCTTTCCAATCATTAATAATAATACTACTACTAATAATAATAATAACAACAACAACATAAAAATAAAGCAGAGCTTAAAGGTAAATTATTGCTAATTAATGCAAGAACAAGTTTTACATTAACCATCCCACAGAGCTCAGGCTTCAGGCAAAATGACTTACACAGGCAGATAAGGTGGGGGTCATCTTGTTTGCTTCTTATTTTCACAGGCAGATACTGCATAAAACCACAGACAGGAGGAAACAATCTCCCTTTCCCCCCACGCCTGGCTGCAGATTCCTGTGCTTCTCATGAAATAATACACCAGACGAAAGGGGCCTTCCAATTTCCACATTCAGGGAAAATAATGACTTTAAAATGCTTGGATACAGGCCGTKTTCCTGTGCTTGTATCCAGGAAACAAGGTCAGATATACCATGGGGTGAAGCTTCCATGGGCCAGTGTGCTGAAGGTTGGGATTAAAGCTGCAGCCCTGCACACCTTCAGCTCTGACCCCCACCGTGTCAAGGGAGAACCCATTGCTCTTTCCCTGTTGTATTCAGGACCCGMAATGGTGATTTTAGCACAGAGCTGAAAGGACTGCAGGTTATCTTAACGAGTTCAGCAGTAACTCTGGCGTGTTTTGTCTCCTCACCAGCCACGACTTCTCCTTTAGCTGACCCCTGAACTCAGCATTAGGCACATCAAAGCTGCCAGGAGACCTCACAGGCACAGGAAACAGACCTTCCTGAAGACTCAGCTGCTTACCAAGAAGTTGAAAAACCTGTGGATTTCACTGATAAACAACATCCCAGACAATATGTCCATGGGCTGAATCTGCTGCTCATGTGAAAAGTCAGCATTAAGCCTGCCTGTTACAGAGCAGCATCTCCTTATCWTCTACAGGGTGATGTCCTGGGAGACAAACAGTGGATGTCATTATACACAGCTGTACTGTGGGGGCTGAAAATTCCTTTATTTGCCTATTTTGAACTGGTGCCCACTCGTGGTTCTCCAGGGCACAGCCTTGATGGTTGTGGTGAGGAGCATTGCAGCAGTGCTGAGGTGGGTACAGAGCCTGGGGAGCCAAAAGAGGCCTTTGCACCCCACACCCAGCAGTCCAGGAAGATAAACCATTGCTGGGTTTGTGTTTTGTGTGCATGTTCTGTGTTATCAATAGTTATCTGCTGATGTTTYTGTCAGAGGAAAATTCCAGAAGTGCCGTGTCCCAGGGGCTTCCAGCAGCGCCGGTGAAGGCTCTGCCTCCTAAATGAAGCTTTTATTGCCCGCCCACTTACATTAGACACATCAAAACAAGTGAGCATGAGGCATCAGGTTCAGGCATCACGGTGAGATCTCTTTACCATTTATTTATTTATTTGTGAGGAAGGTTGAACAGATGTGACAGTCTGTATTTGTGCAAAAATTCAGCACTCGGCTCTGGTGGCTGAGGATGGCTCCTGGCTCTGCATCTCTCCAATGATCTTGCCCTGCTCTTCCAGTCCCCACTGCTGTGCCTGGGGACGGTTCTGTGGATCTGTCTGTTCTGTCTGAGGGTCTATCCTGAGGTGCTCAGTGTGATCCMAATGCTGTCTGTGCTCTCCTGGCCAGCAGCACGGCGGAGCAGCAGCTGCTGTTCCCGGCTGTTCTCCGGCCATGGCACTGCCCAGCAGGCTCCCCTCGCTGCCAGCCAGCACTGCCAGCCCTAAGTGCTGCAGGAAAACTCACCGAGCTGGASATGGCCTAAAGCTGAGCGATTCGAGGGAGGGCAGTGTTGCTCTGACAGCATTTTGTGGTTGTTATTGGAATTTGGGGATGGCTGGGGGGAGTTTGGCTGCTGCGGATGTGGACTCAAAGCGGTGGCGAAGGTTAGGAGTTCAGAGCAGTSTGAGGAAGCGAGAAAGAAGGGGAGAGGGCAGTCAGGCACTTAAGGGATTGAGAAGACTAACGTGGCTTGATCTTGTAGTTTCTTTCATTTGCTCGTCACTTTAAAGACACAAAGTGGTAATTGGACGTAGTAAAGTCTCTAGGATATTTTGTCGGTGCCACTCTCAGAAAGTTCCTCTGTCAGAAGCRGCCCTGCTGCCCTTTCCCTTGTCTCTCTGCATTGCTTTTGTTTGCACACCTGACCTGCTGTCCTGGGGGAGGAAGCCCTTGGATGAGCGTGGGTGCAGCCAAGGAAGTTCTCCACCAGCTCCTGCCTACAACTCTGCTTTAACCCCAACCCACAGGAATCCAGTTCCACTGCTGAGCTCAGGTCTCAGGAGCAGCTTTATGGGGCTAAGGACAGCTAACCACTGGAATAACTTGCCTTAGCACAGCTGGAAATCTCCAGACCAGAGGTCTTCAAGAGCAGGTTAAACCCACAGCAGACAGAAATGGTTTAGTTGTAACTGGTCCTGCATGAATTTTGGATAAGGAATCACAGAAGGGCCTCTCAGGCCACTTCACCCCATTTCCCCACAGTTCTGAACGCATTTTGTATGAACCCACACAAAGACCTGTTTGCTAAGATTGCCAAGAAAGGTTTGCAATTTGCAGAGCATGGACAGATAGATGGAGAGTGTGAAGGGCTGGAAATGCAGTGCCACAAGAATCCACTGAAAAGTCACAAARTGGGAATAACTTGAAGTCAGCATTGATGGAAAGAGACTCAAACCAGCGTGGGGTAAAAAATGTGCATGTTCCAATACAAGCCTCTGCAGCCATCCTGCCCCCTCTGCTCTGCCTGTCACTTCTGCAAAGGATGAGTGGTTTCTGCCATGGAAATCAGGCACYTGATACATAAAACCAGGAGCAGCAGCCTCAGCCTCTCCCTATGCCTGTCCAGCCTGGGCAGAGCTGGTGTGACTCCCTCAGTGAGCGGCGGCAGCACGTGTGTGCAGAACCGGTGGAGAAAAACAAATTAAAGCAATAACATTTGCATTTATCTCTGGTGCATGGAAAGCTCCAACTCTGCTTTGGCTTACAGTGTATCCTGAGCCYGTAAATAACAGCTCCTGCAGCCAGAACTCGCTTTTGCTGGATGGTTTGGTCAGTTGGTTGGTTTTTAACCAGCTCCCCTTCTGCAAGCCCACGTGCTGTGTGCCCACAGGAACTCCCTTGTGAGCTTCATTGCACTTGACAGAAGGTCACTTCCCAACTATTCCCATCATAGGAGCACAGCTCAAATGAGACAACCAAAATCAGTTTGGGAGAGCCTTGGTGGAAACAGCTGGGTGTATCTTCACCTTCACTGGCATCTGCAGSTCCCTCTCAATTCTCTTCCTCCTCCATGCTCTGTATTTCTACCAGTGTCCCCCTGGAAATGCCCTTCTCACAGCATTCACTCTGCGAATGGCACCAGCAGATTTGGGGACATTTCAGGGCAGTCTGTTCATGTGCAGCTCTGCCAAATTCCACAGATGTTAGGAAGYTCAAGAATCGTGCTGGGCTCTCTGCAAAATCCCACATGTTTATGATCCCTTCCATGCCCCACAGCTTGAATCTTCCAGCCCTGGTAAGAAAGGAGGAGAGAGGAGTGGRGACTCTCATCAGCCATTAGGAGTTTTCAGCTGACACGAGTCATTGAGCCTATTGTGAGCAGTCTGCTTAAACTCGAGCCTCTGGAAGCGCAGACAGAGCCTTGTTCTGTCTGTGCATGGAGGCAATAAAAATCTCAATTTGGAAACCAGTTAGCAGTACAAGTCATTAGGGGAGGTACTAAATGTTGCTGCTTTAATAGCTCACTGATCCTTTAATAATGTCACTGCTGCAGAGCATGGTGGCACCATTCGCTCGCTTTTGTTTTGCTTTTTGAAATTCAGGGTCATTCCACTTTCAAGTGAGTGGATTATCTCTCTTTCCTCCTTCTGCCAGACACTGCAAACTGCTTTAAATAATTAGAAAAAGGATGGCTCCTTCAAATCCACCATCTCATTTTCATAAGGTCCAGTGTCATTGCTTTGGAACGGGAAGAGAAGCCGTGATGGAGGTAAGGATTTGACAAGGGCAAAACAGTTAGCAGCCCCCACTCATCTTTGATAAGTCCTGTGGGGTCTCTGCCAAGCAGATTGGATCTCTGGTTTTATGTCTCATCTAGAGGACGGCACCTCCATCAATTTGAAACACTGCACTGGGTTATTAGCTCATGGAATTCATCCAACTTTAGTCCTAAGGAGGATTTGAAATGTGACCATTCAATCCGGAAGGCACCACCACCAGACCCACACAAGTCTTTTGTTTCAGACAAACAGCTTTAAGTTATCCTAAAGACAGACAGAGAGGAAGGGGAAAAAAATGGAAAGGAAGAAAGAGGGCAAGGAAAATGAGAACAAAGAGAAAGATGAATCTTTTTAATAGCTCAAATTAAAAACCAGAAGAAGCTCTTTGTTTGACACAACTGAATTTTACAGCAAATCTCAGTCCACCACAACAACCATCCTGTTATTTATGAAAAGAGGGTTATTTTGTGTGTGAGAGTCCCAGATGACTGTGGTCAGTGAGCATACTGTCAGCTTCATACAATCTCAAGAGAAATATGGATGAGGTTTTCTCGTCTGTTTATAACAGCTTCCATCAATGGATCAAACCCCTTCCTGACTTGAGCAAGAGTTCCAAAGGAAAATGGCMTTACAGGGCTTTAAAGCACCATGTTATATCATGCCCAGGCTGGTCTGAGCTAGTCCTCTATTTTAGCAGAGCTGTTCTCACCAGTTACTCACTTATTTTGTTTYGTAGTGCTGACACTGCTCTCCAATAAACATCTGATCAAGATGCTGCCCCAATCTCATCTCATAGTGGGGTCACTCCAAGCCAAGTGTGATTGGGGCAATGCAGAGATTTGGTGGTGAAGGAGGGTGGGGAAAGGAGCTATTCCAAGGCTTTTCACCAGCATTTGATATGGTACAGTGTTAAATTTGACATGATGCATCCTTCTCCAGGACTCACCCCAAGGAAAAAAGATTACCAGCGTCTAGCATGGCTGGTACAGAGCTCAAAATCATTATCAAAGG